CTCTCTTTGAGTGCCAAGACTTCAAGTTAGCTACTTAACTATTCAGGAACAGGTTGAAAGGTGGCATCGCCTGCAGCCAGATACCACTGCTACTGCAAGAAGCAATGCACACTAAAGCATAGGAAAGAACATAAAACACACATTCGATCAGAAGATATTCCCAGCCTGTATCACTTTCCAGATGAAGCAAAGCAGACAAAGGAAGAAAAAAAAACCCAACTGTAATTAGTCTTGCTTCAGTAGAAAGAGAAAAATAAATCAATGTTAAGATGAAAAGAATTATTAAGGGAATGACAAACATGGTCTGATGCTCTCAGGTTCTGCAAAGGGATGGAGACACTGGGGAGCAATTTCCCCAGAGCATATTTGCTCTCTGGCTGCCAAAAGTTTATTTCTCTATCTTTAAACCGTGAGTATCTTTGTCTTCATCCTCAGTCTGGTTGCACCTTTCAGCTTTCCTTTATTGTTCTTCTCATAGTTTCCCCCTGAAGGAGACTCGACAGCATCCTCCCGGATGGAGGTAGAGGGTGTACTATAGAGCGCTTACGGCGACCCTACAAATAAGCGACCGCCAAAAGGTCCTGTCCTCAACAGCCCTGCAAACTCCAGCCTGTGGGGAAGCGATACCGGCTGTCCCAAAAAGACGCCGGCTCCTCCGAGCCCGCCACCCTCCCAGGGGACGGAGAGCAAGGACGGGGGTCCGACCGCCCAGCACCCCCTCGCCCGCTGCCATCCCTCGGATCCCACGCGGCCTGCTCTGGGAAGGGCATCCTTTCTGTCTGGAGGGGAAGCAAAGGCCCGAGAGGGAAACCGGATGGAGATTCCCTGTCGATTCTCCAGATCTGGCCCTTTTCTCGAGGGGGAGTCGGATCCTCAGGACAGGCATTGGACAGAACTTTGCATATCCCCGCCCACTTCTCCCATCATGCTCTGCAAACTTATTCCGAGCACTGGCGGCCACCAGAGGTCCCCCCTCGCTTCACCCTCTGGCGGGTGGCTGCCCCTCCTGGCGCTAGCTGAGGTGTTAGGCTTTGGGGCACCAGGCGGGGGGGGGACCTGCTCCCTGCCCTCCGTAGGACTGGACTGGACTCCATGCTGCTCCCTCTGTCGCCTTGGACTATACGGGCCGGGCCACTCTGACTGAACTGCTCCATAGACGCCAGAGAAGACTCTACATCCTTTGCACCAATACCTCATTTATCAACGAACAAGTGCCTTTACGGTACTTTACATGTATGTCCTCTTATGCTCTGGACTGTTTTGCCTTAATTCACACAACCTCCCCGCCTCCCAGGCCAGCCACGTCAGTGTCTCCTGCAGAGGGGGGGCCCTCGACCCAGGGGAGACAACCCCCCCCCGATGCCGAGACTCCACATCCAGAGGATGCCATTGACGGAAGAATATTGGTCCAGTGCAAGAATGGGATCGGGCCTGGCCTGCTCTCTGGACTTCTGGACATTCTCTTCGAAATACTAAGCCTTGTAGCGTTACAGCCCTAAAGCATGTGTGTATACTGCAGTACGGCACTTTAAACGCCAGTAGCCAACTGCAACATTTTTATTTCTATTTTCGTATACACCTGTAATTCTCTCCCTCATTGTCTACCCAAAGATCCTCTATTGAAAGTTAATCTGTTCTTATCAGTTTAATATCTGTTTAATACCATCTAGAGCTGCCAACCCCATCCAGCGGCTTGGAAGCCCCAGCACGAGGCAGGGGTTTAACGCCTAGCCTACACCGTCCCAAACTATCAAGAGAACCATGCATGGCGGCTGAAACAGGGAGCCTGCCGAGACCCCCATCCTCTTTGGGAACGAGAGAGGAGCCACAACTGGGGCCAGAGAGCTTAAGCATCAAAAATACACCCTGCTGGCTGGCTTGCCGAGAGCCCAAGGGTAGGAAGAGTCTGCCCATGCACTCCTGATGGGGACCCTAGGGGCCTGGGACCCCCCCCCCAAAAAAAACAAACCTGTCCTGAAGGCATGTGACGTGGGAAGAAAACTACGCCACTCAGGCACAAGCTGATGGTATCTAACACCATTCAGTGGTCCAGAGACATCGACTTTGAGCTACATTTCCGGGCACTGTGAGGATGAAGAACAACCGCATCTCCTTTGACCACACAAATGGGGAACACAACACACCCTAACCAGCCTGCTCCTCTAATCCCAGTGGGCGGGGGGGGCACAGGAGTGGCAAGGAGTGTCCCTGTCCACCTAACCCAGTGGAGGGGAGTGATCGAGGCTGCTGGCCCCTACCTAGTGAACACGGGGCAAGCCACAGAACGTTCTCCTTCCCCAAATAGGAGATGGGCCCAATCCCTCCGGCCTCTCCCTAGATGTGGGGGGGGGCAGGGACCACCCAGGGAGGTAGACAAGGCCAGTGAGACCCTCCAGCACACAGTCACTGTGTATAATGCTAGAAGCAGTGCACACTAAAGCACAGGAAGGAACACAAACCACACATTCGATCAGAAGATATACCCAGCCCGCGTACCACTTTCCAGATGAAACAAAGCAGGGGAAAGGAAAAAAGCACAGGAAGGAACACAAACCACACATTCGACCAGAAGATATTCCCAGCCCGTACACCTTTCCAGATGAAACAAAGGAGGGGAAAGGAAAAACTCAACTGTAATTACTTTTGCTTCAGTAGAAAGAGGAAAATACGAATACATTTCAAAAACTCATATTCAGACTTTAAAAATAAATTTCTAATCAAGGGCATCAATTTTTTTTTGGTCATGTCAGATTAAACAAGGGCAGTGATATTTGATATTTGAAGCAATCAAACTTGTAAATATCTATTGCATTACCTTTTCCCTGCCCTAATGATACATAAAATGTTTATTTGGCTTGATTTTAAGGTTGCCCCATTCCCTGGGGCTTTAGGAACAAAAATCTGAGACCCGTAGGTCAGACTGCTGCAGAAAAGCTGTTCCCAGGCCTAGGACAAGAAGAAAGCTCACAGGATTAGGGACTCTGGACTAGTTGATTTGCTCCGAGGGACCAAAAAGCATGCACCCAATGGCTGTCTCTTCAAAATCCCCTCCCTCCTTTGCTCCTGGGCTATCTCTCGTCTTGTTGTGCAGGCACACACCAAGCGCGGAGGCCAGCTGCAAATTATGGCCCAGGTTTTAGCACCCTCTTCCCCACAGGGGGGAAAAATAATAATCCAAGAGTGTTTGTCAACATTACTTTCCTCTCCCCAACACAGGGAATCCCTTAAAAAGCTGTCCATGTTCCATGAGATCAGGAAACCCTTAAACATCATTAACTATTCCTTCCTCCTCATTTCACAAGTCCACCAACACATATGACCACTGGTAATGGCACAGCTAAAAAATCTTGTAAAATATGCAAATAGAGCAGGACCCCCATATCCTCAAGAAACCAGTTCCAACCCCCCCAAGACTTGCGGATGCTGAAAAAAAGATGAATACCAATTACTGTTTGAATAGCAAACATAATACATAGCCTGGTCTCTGGCTCCCTCTAATAGCCAGATTCTGGTCATGTCCTCTTTAGATATATATATATTTCTAGGATTTTTTAAAAAAACATTTTTTAGATCGTGGATAAGTGAATCAGCAAATATTTATCCCACAGATAAAAAGGGGTGGGGTATGTGTTTCCTACTGTACTGGAATAGTTACATTTTGCAACCTTTTGTTTAAAAGCTGTAAAAAGAGCTCTTTTCCAACCCTCTTGGCTCACATCCTTTTCACAGGTTTTCTTGGCATTTCGGCTGCGCTGCCATCCTCTTTACGGGTCGAAGGAAACCTCCTCCAGAACGGACTCTACTGTACTGGAATAGTTACATTTTGCAACCTTTTGTTTAAAACTTATAAAAAGAGCTCTTTTCCAACCCTCACATCCTTTTCACAGGTTTTCTTGGCATTTCGGCTGCACCGCCATCCTCTTTATGGGTCGAAGGAAATCTCCTCCAGGATGGACTCGTAGGCAAAAGGGGGTGTCCTTGGGTCAGCCATTCCCTGGACTAAGCCTGCGCTTGGCCCTTCCTTCTCTCACAAAAAAATAAGGTGGGATTTGTGGAGAGAAGCACAATTTGCTCCCTGAACCCTTTTTAAAAAAATAAAAAACTCCTATCCAGCCTCACAGACTTGTTCTGAGAGAAATGCAAAGTGGGTGGGTGAATATTATTACACCGGCTCACCCTAACCTATGTTTGCTGCCCCCCAAAATAACAATAATAATATTTACTTAAGTTTTTCAGGGGAGCTTTGGGTGGCAAAGAAAACAAAAAGGGACCCTGGGGCCATTCCCTCAGCTTCAAAGGCCTCCCAGGGATGCTGTGGAAAAAAAAACACAAGGAAAAGACATGTGGGAGCCATTTTGTGGCTTCTTGAAAGAAAGAGGAATTAAGGGTGGCATAAATATATCGAATTAAAAAAAAGTTTCCTAAATTTTAAACCCAAGAGTTCCAGCTGCATTCAAGCGAAGGCGCTAAAAGGGACTTTTGGTTGGGAAGAGCTATTGGAAAAAAAATAAAAGTCTCTCATCATTCCCCTCAGGTCGCCTACACTAAAAATAATAATAATAATCCTTTCTACACTAAAATTATAACAATCCCTCCTACACTAAAAAAAAAAAATAATAATCCCTCTTACACTAAAAAAATAATAATAATAACCCCTCCTACACTAAAACATAATAATAACCCACCCCACCCCCTCAGGTGAACTGGAGAAATAAGCGAAGCAGCGCCCCTGAGAGGGACTTTATAGCCTAGGAAGGCGGGGTTAAGGCGTTCCCGCTCTCGTCGCTGATTGGCGGACAGGGATGAATTGACGGGTCGGAGTGGGAGGAGCGGAACCTGAGAGGAAAAAAAGGAGGGAGGGCAGGCGCGCGCGCGCACCCACCCACGCGCATGCGCCGCCATGGCCGGCCGCGGATGGGGACGGCAAGCCAGAAACAAGCCCCAGAGGCTGGAAACTTTTATTTTATTTTGCTTTATTTTGGATGACAATCTGAGCTAGCATGACCAGGATTCTGTTGCAGAGTTCTGAATTTCTGATAAAATTTGTTTTTGCTGCACAGCAGAAGCACAAGGAGAAACGCCTGGAAAGGGCGGAATATAAGGCCGCCGAGGCGGGTGGGCGGGGCGCCAAGCAGGTGCGGCGGGCGCGCTGATGACGTCACCCGAAAGGGCGCTCCTGGGAGGATTCACCTCGCTGGTTGCACCGTCTGCGCATGCTCAGGCCCATCAGAACACCTGGCCTTGTTGACACATTTTATTTGATTTATTTAAAATATATTTTTAATCCCGCCTTTTTCCTTGAAAAAAAAGGACCCAAGGCGGCTTACAGTCATGAAGGACATTTAAAGTTGCAAACAATAGACATCCTCAGAAGACAGTATTTAAAGCTAAGAACAAGGAGTATAATAAATAGACATCTTCCATCATTCATAGGCCGCATTAAGACCAAGAACAATAAGTATACAATTTTTTTAATGCCACTCTAAGAAATGGAGAACACAAAAATGGGAAATGCAAATAGTAATAAAAATTTGTTTATTTTATTTTATTTATTCTATTTATACCCCACCTATCTGGTCAAAGCCGTCACGCAGAACAGCCCCTCTAAAAATCAGACACAAGAGATCTGGATTTCCTGCAGGAAAGGCTGGCCTGAAGAGAAAAGTCTTTGCCTGCTTGTGGAAAGATGAGGCCGAGATGAGGCTGGTCTCTGGATCTAGAGAATTGTTATCTTTGCCTGCTTGTGGAAAGATGAGGCCGGTCTCTGGATCTAGAGAATTGTTAAAAAGCGCTGGGCGCTGAACGAAAGAGAGGAAATAAAACTGATTTGTTTCTAGAAAGCAAAAGGCAGCCAAAGCAAGCCACTACTGGGCTATCTAGCTTTATCTCAGCTGCATGGGATATGTGGTCCTCACAGCTGTTTTTCTGGGTCCTGAGGTCCCTCATAGGCCCCCAATGTCCCTGCTGAAAAACTGGAGGGGAAGACCCATGTCTAGTCTGGGAAGCCAACAATTTATAACAAAGCACAGACCCCCACCCCACACTTGGTGTCTGTCCCCAGTTTGGAGCCTTATTTTGGAAGGCTTTTTCGACCCATGGGGCAGCCTAGAGATTGAAAACTGGACCCCCCGGGAGCTCCCGGCCCTCAATCTAAAGTGTGTGCCAATAAATTCCCTGTAGGTAGGTGACATCCGTCTGTATTTGTTTCATTTGTTTCTTAAGATTTGTGTACCACCCCATTAGGGCAAAGCACTAGTCTGGGGCGTTTGCCACAAATAATAAAACACAGCAACCAATAAATGACATATATCAAACCCAGCAATAGAAGAAATCACACGCAACAAGAAGTGTGAATGCCACATATAAGGCTGCGTGCAAGGCAGGAAAATCAGAAGGCTTCTCTGCTTTGCAAATGTTGGGGGGGATTTGGAGGTTGTTTTTTATATTTTGGCCCCCCCAAAAGTGAGGGGAGATCCACTTGATTTCACCCCCTTATTCTTCTGGATCCCAAGGAGGTCTTTGTACAGGAACTAACGGCCCAGGAAGAGGGAAGTAATCTTTCTCCTACTTTGAAGAATGGGAAATTAAACCCGGCGCTGATGCACGCCAAGCTAGCGCTGTGCCACTGAGCCATGGCAGGAACCCTCTTCCCCTTCTTTCCCCTCCATCGCCTCCTCTTACTCCCTTCTCCTCTTTTCCAGTTACTGCTACACCTGCCAGACCCACGTGCCTCCCCGCTGCGGGCACTGTTTCGCCTGCAACGTCTGCGTCCTCCGGCGCGACCACCACTGCACGCTGCTCGGCCAGTGCGTGGGCTACCAGAACTACCGCTACTTCATGTGCCTGCTGCTGCACAGCTCGCTCGCCCTCCTCTTCGGCTGCGTGCTCAATGTGGGAGTGGTCGCGTCCGTGCTCCAGGGGGGCCACCCTGCTCAGACAATCCTGCTTCTTGTTCTGCCTTGGCTGATGCTCCTGATGGGTAAGGAGGAGCAGCAGGAATTCCTCGTTCCTCTCTAGGGTCTGCAGATCCTACCACGGGCCTAGAATTTCCACTTAAATCTCCTTGGGATCCCACGCAGCGCTGGCCTTATCTGGAAGTTGAGTCATGGACACTGGACTTATTTCTTTTCAGGTTTCAACCTAACCTGAAAGAAGTCCAGTGGCCACGACTCAACTTCCAGATAAACTCACCTGGATGATTGGGAATCTTCACAGAGCACTGCTGTGGTTTGACTTCATATCATCAGCCCACCTCTGGGGGATTTTTACATACCTGCAAATCATAATTTGATCCCAGACTTATTTATTGATGGCTTTTATACACATCAGCTGTTGGAAAGGTTCTCAGGTTCGCTCCGTTTCAGTTGAAGACAAGGCGGTCCCTTGCATTCAGATTTAGAAAGGCGAAGGAGGCCAGGAGACCCCATGCAACCCCCCCCCCAATTATATATCTGTCACCCTCCCATCCCATCAACTCTAGAGATGGGCTCCATGATATCTGTATATCACCCCCCCTTCCCCCATTCCTTGATGCTTAAACTGCCACACCTAAACGCTTCCAGGAGAAGATATACAGCCTTTTTGAGTATATGTTAATGTGCACTGTCTTAAGATTCTACAGTTAACTGAGTTTCTCCTTCTGCAGTTCGCAATAGCTACCCAATTTTTTCCATATTCATTTATTCTCTCTCTCTCTCTCTCAAGCCTTTCTGGAGAAGGCAAGTACAGTGGGACCCTCTTTTCTGCAGGAGATCAGTTCCATGACATCCTGCAGATGCTGAAAGCTGTGGATGATAGTGAACCCTATATACATACCACAGTCCCTGGCTCCCTCTAGTGGCCAGTTCTAGTAATTTCATCATGAAAATGCGTATTTCTGTTTTGTTCTTTTAATATTTTCAGAACGTAGATCAGTGAAACCGGGGATGCCAATCCTGTGGATACAGGGGTCCTGCTGTAACACAGTCCTTGTACTTGTCTCTCCCTTGCAGGGCAGGTGGACATTGTTGCCTTCTGCTACGCTTTTGTGACGGACGCCTGCGTTGTGGGCTTCCTCTTCTCCACCGGCTTCCTCCTCTTCCACAGCCTCCTGGCTGTGCGCGGACAGACCACGAAGGAATGGTTTGAAGGAGATCGCCAATACGACATGGGCTGGCGGGACAACCTGCGTGAGGTCTTGGGGGAAAGATGGTATCTGGTGTGGTTCCTGCCTTTCCTTGCTTCCCCTTTGCCGGGAGACGGGATCACCTTCAAAACCAAAGGTCCCGGAGCGGAATCGCCCCCCAGATCCCTCCGTCTCTGAAGGTGGGTTTTCCACAAGGAAGTTCCAACCACTGCTTTCACTGCAATATGAAATACAGTGGTGCCTCGCATAGCGATCGCTCTGTATAGCGATGAAATCGCTTTGCGATGGACTTTCTGCCATCGCAAGAGGGATCGCTTTGCAATGGCCCCTATGGGGAAAATTCGCTTTGCGATGATCGCAGGGAAGCGCTCATCGCAAAGCGGCCATTTTCGGCCAGCTGATCGGCGGTTCCAAAATGGCCGCCGGGTAAACAAAATGGCCGCCCACTGTTTTGCCTCGCTTTAGAGGCACCGAAAATGGCCGCCGCAATGGAGGATTTTCGCTTAAGGTTAGTTTGGAAGCCCATAGGAACACATTAAACGTGTTTTAATGCGTTTCCATGGGCTTTTTAAAATCGCTTAGCGATGAAATCGCTTAGCAGCGATTTTTGCTGCACCGATTAACATCACTAAGCGAGGCACCACTGTATTAGAAAAGGAAGATGCTTCTGTGTTCCTTGTTCATCATCTCGGCACTGCTTTCAAGCGTTCCATGTATGTGGTTCTAGCTGCAAACTTTATAGCAGGAGGGGACTTTGGCTTTCCAGAGGGTTCCAAATGAGTCAGAATCCCTTCCCACTGGCTCTACTGGTCAGGGCTGATGGGAGTTGTAGACCAAAACAACAAAGGCTCTCCGCTCGGTTCCTGTTACAAACCTAGGAGATCAGTCAAGGATGATGGGGTTGAGGCTCAATGTGCCTATGAACAGACAAGCATCTAGACAGTATGGTCCGATCCCCATTACTTGCGTACGCTGGCGTAAGTCAGCCTCAACCTCAGTGGTGTACGGCTGCTAGTTAAGGAGTTGGCCCCCGTACACGGGTGTGAATTCTTCAATGAAGTGGTTTAATTTTAATGAAATCGAGAACAGTCCTGGTCAGATCATGACGAACCTGTTTCTCTCTTCTCAGAGGTCTCCGGTCCATACTGCATGAAGGAAGATCTCATCCTTGTGTGCGAAGAGCCTCCTTGCCTTCTGCTCAAAAACAGATGATTTTGGCAATGAACTCTTAGGGTCTTCCATGACCATCGTGTTTGCTTCTGAGCATGGGTGGCCTCTGCTTTCATCTGGTTTGGTCATTTTCCCCCCATACACACCGTGGGTGTACTCATCGGCAACCTGAAATGGTTCGCGTTGGCAAAGGAAAGACATTTACATGAAGAACTAGACCATCCTATTTGGGCTGGATTAATCTCAGTGAGATGGTTGATGCTGGGATCCAGTTTCTTTGCTGCCTCTCTTGTAGACGTCGTATTTCCCCACCAGCTTACTTCTCTGTACCCGCGTGAATATTTTGCATTCCTTATTCTCTCAGGTTGGACTAGGAAGAAGAAGTTAGACACAACACACAAAACCCTATCCGAGTCAAGTGGCCATAGCTTTCGCTTCCCCTTGATGAGGTTCGTGTTTAGGGTACGCAGGAAAAAGACATTCCACAGAAGCGAACAGAGTCTGGGCATTAGGCAGTTCTGGCATAGAACTGAGTGGAGGAATTCTTACATTTTTTTTTACTCATTAATTTTTTAAAAAACTCTACCAGCCATGTCACAGCACCCGGGATTCTTGCACTGCAGCTTGTAGCTTTTTGTAAATACCTGCACGTACTCTTGTAAAATGTTGTCAGTTTTCTCATCTCTCGGCTCATGCCCTGCTTGCCTGGAAAGTCTGCACAGCTACAAACCCAGAACACGGGATGGGTGAGAAGGATGGGAGGGAGGAAGGATGGGAGGAAGGATGAGAGGAAGGAAGGAAGGATGGGAGGAAGGAAGGAAGAAAAGATGGGAGGAAGGATGATAGGAAGGAAGAAAGGATAGGAGGAAGGATGAGAGGAAGGAAGGAAGGATGGGAGGGAGGGAGGAAGGAAGGAGTTCTGATCTAGTGCCTTGGTTTCTTGCATGTGCTTCCTTGAATATAGTATTAATGAAACTGCCTGACACAGGATCAGGACCTTGCACTTCTCCATTTAGCAGCTGCTGTGACTGACGGTGACTCTTACCAGCCCTTCTGGAAAGGGTGCTTTATATGGCAATGCTGGGGATTGAAACCTTAAACATGTGAACAGGAACACTAGCCGGGGTTTAGGAGAGTTCAGCTATCTTATTCTCAGGTCTACATGTGAGTAAGTTTTTCTCGGTAGGCAGCAACGGGTCTCTGCTAGCCGTAGATCTCTTAAGTGTCCCTAAACCGCAACTGTTTTAGAAGACCATGAAAATAAAAATACAGTGGTGCCCCGCATAGCGAGGTTAATCCATTCCGGATTAATCTTCGCTGTGGGAAAACATCGTAAAACGGATCCAAAAAACCCATTTTGGAACCGCTCAACAGCTGTTCCCCCATCGTAATGCGAGCATGCCCTCGCATTAGCGATGGGGAAATCCGCATCGCAATGCGGATTCATCGTTCAACGGTGCACTCGTTATACGAGGCACCACTGTAAGCTGTTTTCAAGAAGATCAACCCTACAGAATTCTGGTTCCAATCCTAAGGACGTTCACCGGCAAGCCGAAGACCAGTGCCAACCGAAATATCTGTGGTGATAAGAGATTCAGCAGCAACAGAAGGCTCCAGAGAATCCTTTTTGGAGAAATAAATGTATATCTTTTTTTCCTCTGGGGCAAGCGGCCCTTCTGTTCTGTTTCAGCTTTTTTTGTTCAACCTCTTGAGCAAATGTTAAAAAAACGGCGTTTGCACATTAAAATGCTGTTTAAAACAACACAATCCTGTTTGTGCCTTTCAAAAAAACCCCACAAAACAATACACAGAAAGTGGTGTATGAAAAAGTAAAATTGCTTTGCTTACACCAATATTTTTCTTCTCCCAAATCTTGTTTTCAGAGGGAATTAAATGCGCGTGAAAGCTCTTGAAGAACACATCTCAGGCCTGCCTTTGATAATCAGAGCTATAAACGCTCCATAAATCGGAGAGGTCTGTACGTAGAGGAGATCAGCTCAGCTTAGCTTGTGATTCACAGTTTGGCAGAGCTGGTTTTCCTCTGAAAGAGAGATTCTCTAAAGCCAAGTTGCCATTGCGTTGACTGTCAGTCATTTTATGAATATCCTGCACATTTTTTCCCCAACAAAGAGATTTAAGGCAGCTTCGAAAACTTTAAAAAGACAAATCCAGCTAATCAATTACAATATTAAAAAGCAGTTAGGCACATCAAGAACCGAACGATGCTGTTTTAAAAAAACACAAGATCCCATTCCTTCTTTGGCAAACCTTCCAAAGTACCATTATTTGTTGCCGAACTACAGCTCCCATCATGCTTGAGCCGACTCGCGAGGGTGGGTGAGAACTGAGCCTCCCGCAAGATTTCGATGGGGTACAGGTTGCACAGCCCTGCGATGAGGCCCATCAAGTGACAGCATTAAATCCTGGATTGATCAAAGAACGGATGGACGTCGGCCATCACCCCCAAAATGTTGAAACAAAAGGATTTTTTTTTTACCGTTTTCAAAAAGAAAAAAACACTGCACAAATGTCATAAGGACTAGGGGAAAAACACATAATATTCAGAATAAACTGTAAAATTACTTTTTGTAACCTTTTAAAAAGCAATAATTAAAAAAAACACACACAAAGTAATGCACTGTTTGCTGAATTTATGGCCGCCAAGACGGTTGTAGGTCCTTTTGGGCGATGATGTTCTCAAGAGACAACGTATAGTCAGCTTTGAAAAGCCTTGCTTTCTATTCGGTTCAAGAACATCTGGACGAATCTCCGCTCTGCCATGGACCTGGGTGGCTCATAACCACGTCCCTTGACTTTCCGTGTCTTGTGGCCTTCCATGGGGACCCCTACAGAACTGCAGAATCCGTGCGCAGCAAAAAGAGCTTCCGGGAAGCTAAAATAGAAGCCCGACTCCGGTTGCCACGACAGCCGCCCGGCGGGGAAGATGCTCGGACTCCATTCCAGATTTGGTTGCTCCGGTAACGGAGAGAGAGAGAGAGCATCCGGGTCCATTCCGCGTTGTCGCGGACGCCATGTTGAACCCGCACCGTCAGTCCGTGTTGGCCAATGGTTGCGTGAAAGCCTCCGTCGACCCCATTACCCGGACCCCTGGCACCATCTATGAACCCAAAGGGCAAGTTCGGCTCCTGGGCCTGCTTTCGGAAAGCTCTCCTTCCCGGCAGGTAGACTGGGTTTGCCTGCTCCTGCAGCTGGAGGCTCTACTTCAAACACGTACACACTGCCGCCTATTACAATACTAGGTGATCAAAAGTGGGTTTGTCCATAAACGCCCAGGCCAGAGGAACGCTGGGGAAATGCCCCCATCGATTTAAAGCGAAGGTGGTTTTCTACCCTATTTTAGAGGATACGGAACAGCAGTGGCCTTCCGTATATTTCTGGACTGCAGTATTGATCACCCCCCAGGGAGTTTCCATGGTTGAAGCTGGATTCGAACACAGTACTGGATTCACACCGGTTTCTGTGCATAGATGATAGCAAATAGAAATTTTATGCAAAGCGATTTTATTCCCTTTTCGACTTTGGTACCATCTCCCACAGAACTCGACATTCAGTAAAAGTCCTTATTGATGTGAAACTGGGGTCTTAATCTTTCGGGCCCAGTAAAGTCCCGGACATGATTTGCCTGGGAGTAAATGCAAAAGGTCTCAGGCGCCAACGTAAAGTAAACCAGAAGCTGACACAGGGCGGAATTATGACTGGACGTTACCCTTCATGGAAATGGCTAAGAACATTTTGCAGCTGCAACCAGTCATTTAATTCTTGGCACATAATTTCCAGCTTTTATTTCATTTTAATTTAATTTCGGGTAAAAATTCCTCTTTTGCTACCCAGCAGAAGTTCAGAGATCCACAGAGGAGAATAGCTTCAAGTTCCCCCAATGTTCCCCCCCCCCTTTCTCATTCACTGGTGCTTAAGGCCTCCATAACTCACACTGAGACATTGATAGGAGAAATAATTTAAATATATTTATTTACTTACAGTTGCTTGAAACTACGGGGCCGTGCGTGCTGCTTTCTTTACCGCACACGTACTGTATCTAGCGGGCTATTACTTACAGTTGCTTGAAACTACGGGGCCGCGCGTGCTGCTTTCTTTACCGCACACGTATCTAGCGACCTACCAAACAGAAGGAATAATAATTGGTTAGTGCTGGAGAGAGAGAGAGACGGTCACCCCACCCCATCAAAGTCCCTTCTCATGAAACAAACTACTGTATAGGCAGCCTGCAAAGCTGTCCATAAAAATCCCACAGAGACCAGGGTTCGAATCCTAGCTCAGCCATGGAAATTCACTGGCAGGTAGGTAGAATGGGTAAAACCACTCCTTACATATTTCACTTCCCTTTTTAAAAAAAAAACCTACAAAGGTCACTGGGATGGAGTTCCGACTTGACAGCACATAACCGTCTAGCGATCCCCCGAGGGGTTGATCGAGAGATGGACCTTGGGAGATCCGGTTTCGAATCCCCGCTTGAGAAACCCGCTGGGGTGGAGGTAGCAATGGTCAAACCGCTCCTTAACGACCTTGCTTCCTTTTAAAACTGTATTAGGGTTCACGAATAAGTCGGTTTCGACTTGACAGCACGTCACAGACTTAACACCAATGTTGTGTTACGTTCATGGAGGTTAAGTTTCCCATTTGGTTTTTACGACAACTTTTATTCCCGGAGCTGGTTTCTCAGCTAATTCTATT